CCATCCTAGCATTAGCACTGCACTGATGAGGCCCAGAAGGCCGAAACAGTACTGTCTGCAGTTAGATATAGCTCTTTGGCATACAAAGCTTTGCTTTCATGTCCAAATTGAGCACTCTAACTAGGATGAGTCATTGCTCTGCAATTGCGCATGCTCGCTAGTGTACTCTAGTTTGAGCACTCTGGCATGGCTTAGACGATACCACAAAGGTTGGATCGTTTGGGGTGACCATATTGGTTCTCCTCCATCCTAGCATTAGCACTGCACTGATGAGGCCCAGAAGGCCGAAACAGTACTGTCTGCAGTTAGATATAGCTCTTTGGCATACAAAGCTTTGCTTTCATGTCCAAATTGAGCACTCTATCTAGGATGAGTCATTGCCGTTGCAATTGCGCATGCTCGCTGGTTTACTCTAGTTTGAGCACTCTGGCATGGCTTAGACGATACCACAAAGGTTGGATCGTTTGGGGTGACCATATTGGTTCTCCTCCATCCTAGCATTAGCACTGCACTGATGAGGCCCAGAAGGCCGAAACAGTACTGTCTGCAGTTAGATATAGCTCTTTGGCATACAAAGCTTTGCTTTCATGTCCAAATTGAGCACTCTAACTAGGATGAGTCATTGCTCTGCAATTGCGCATGCTCGCTAGTGTACTCTAGTTTGAGCACTCTGGCATGGCTTAGACGATACCACAAAGGTTGGATCGTTTGGGGTGACCATATTGGTTCTCCTCCATCCTAGCATTAGCACTGCACTGATGAGGCCCAGAAGGCCGAAACAGTACTGTCTGCAGTTAGTTATATATATATATATATATATATATATATAAGTAGAAGCTTGTAAGGGGTCCCACAAACAATGCTGATCAGTCTCAAACGCGCTGCCTGGAGGATCACTGAAGCGATCGTGGGCTCTTGAAATAACGTAAATAAGAGCAGAAATGTAATGGTCAAGAGGCCAACTCCAATGTAGCTTTGTTGGTTTAATAGCTCGACGTTTCGACCGTCTCGGTCTTCTTCAGGAGCATACTAATTACATGAGCAATATTCAAATTTAAAATTCGTGTCAACAGTAAACATGTCATGACGTAATAATATAAAAATAGAATAGATAACAGCGAAACGTGTCATGGTGTCTAAAATAGATAAACTAAAGTAGTTATAATTCATGTAGTAAGCAATGTGATATACCTGATTGAATGCAGCAAATGTAACGATCAGTACGTAGGCGAGACAGGTCACCCAATTCACCACCGTGGCAATCAACACCGTAGCGACATCAAGGGTGGACATAAAAACATACCCTCTGTCAGACATTTTAAGAACTGTGGAGTCGACCATCTTAAACTTACGGTTATTGAAAAAGTTAGAAGTCAAAATCAAGAAATCAGAAAAGCAAGAGAAAATTATTGGATATTAAGACTCAATCCTACTATCAATAAGCTTACTACATGAATTATAACTACTTTAATTTATCTATTTTAGACACCATGACACGTTTCGCTGTTATCTATTCTATTTTTATATTATTACGTCATGACATGTTTACTGTTGACACGAATTTTAAATTTGAATATTGCTCATGTAATTAGTATGCTCCTGAGGAAGACCGAGACGGTCGAAACGTCGAGCTAATAAACCAACAAAGCTACATTGGAGTTGGCCTCTTGACCATTACATTTCTGCTCTTATATATATATTACATAACTTAGTAATTGCATTTATGGTGAGTAGTTTTAAGGATCAATCTACAAGCTTTTAACTTTTCCATGTCCTTTTTGCTGATGGAGATTTACCTCCAATCAAAGGAAAAAACTGTAAAAATTATGGTTATAACGATTTAGATAACTTAACTCTTCCCTTTCAGCTTTCAAGGCCGTATTTACAAACCTCAACGCCGGTGGAAGAATTGGACCAATAACGCTGGGCAATCACTACACAGGACAGGATCATGACGGACAAGTTACGCTGTCCAGCGGTGTTCAGCAGTGGACTGTGCCGTACACTGGTGACTACAGAATAAAAGCAATGGCAGCCGCAGGAGGGTATGATGGACGCCCTAACAGTACTCAGTACCGAGGAAGAGGAGCAAGAATGGTTGGAACGTTCCGCTTAAACAAGGGTGAAGTCATTCAGATAGTTGTTGGTCAAGAAGGAGGAATAAACACGAACTATTACTCTTCTGGAGGTGGTGGAGGAACGTTTGTGGTGAGAGGAGCCAACACACCTTTGATAATAGCTGGAGGCGGAGGAGGCGTAAATGGGGCTGACACAAGACACGAAGGATGTGACGCCAGCACGAACACAACAGGGAATCCTGGATACAAATCATGGTCAGGGGGCAGCAAGGGACATGGTGCACAGACTGCCGATGATCATGGTTCAGGTAAGAGTATATTGAAATGTTTTCTTACGTCTTAGCTGTTTATTTAATGTTATTTCAGTACTATATATGATAACGAGCGCTCTAATTGGCTTACAATTTATGAAAAAGAAATGGATGGTTAAAAGAGATGGTTCAGACTGATGTCATTGTTGGCAAAAATTTCCTATCGAGTTTACCCGAGAGGTTTCAAAACTTTCAAGATTGTTTTCCAGTTAACCTTTTGGAGCTCTATTTGAAAAGAAAATGTGCTAAAATGATAATCGTTTCAAAAAAACAATCAGGATGTAGCTATTCAAAGCGATGGAATTAGTCTTGGTGTCGACGATACTTTATTTGCTAAACGCGATGCGTGAATGTGGCTGAAAACAAAACTGAGATTTTTAACTTCAACCGAGGCTTCGCGACGTTGGGGTAAATATTATTTTGAAGAGCTTATGCATGTACGTCGCAAAAGTGTTGTTCAATACATAATTTTCCTTGGAAATCGTACAATTTTTAAGATTTTCAACACAAAGCGACGCAATTTCTGATCGTCAATTCTAGTAACCAACAATTCAAGGAGGTGAATATATCACACGGGACTCGTAAATTTAGGAAATTTCCCCTAAGTTTTTTGGACGGGCCGATATTATTTTGTGTTGCATTAATAATTCCGAACGCTACAGTTGCTCCCGGCTGCTATTCGAGCAACTTCTCTTTTGTGCTCTCCAAACTTCCCGCGTGCACCATAACTGGAAATATGCTTTGGGGGGACATAAATCTTAATAAGTCTCGAATAAAATGTAGATATCCCGAGATAAATAAAAACATCTGCGGTGTGCTGAAATATCCATATGTCAAAAATAGAACTTGCTGTGTGTTTATAAAAGATCATATCTAAAAATTAAACTACGTAGTTTTAATCTATGAATATCAAAAGCATCAAGGTTACTTCTCACATACACAGCAATTTCGCCTTTTTCCCTCAAAACCACTCTTGACCAGTTCCTATCCCGTCTGAATATGTTTTAGATAGGTATGTTGACAATTGATTCAGGTTTATCTGGCTCAAGGTGTGTTTCGGAGGCGACGCAAGCGCATGAATATCTTTCTTATTTAAATGATCTTTGAGTGTACAGCCGCTCTAAACCGGATCTTTGTTTTAGTTGGGCTGCAGATGTTCGTAAATAAAAATTTTGGAACAGCGAACTCGCATTTCGGGCTTTTCTGAGTTGTTGTAGATGAGGTCAAATGTCTGATGTTCAAAATAAGGCAGCGGTCTCGCTTTACATGCTTAGCCGTGGTGTTTGGGTGTTTCTGAGTGATGACCACTGGTATCCAATAAGCTTTCGTGTTGTTAAAATTAATGCGTCTTTATCCTCCTCAGTTTCTCGAGATTTCAGAATGCCAAGTAATTTCAGAAAATGTAACGTGTCATAATTTGGTCGGCAAGCTCGTGATCGAGGATCGTTTAGGAGGGTCTCAATAGGGGGGTAGAAGGTGGTGTTGACGGTTGACGGTTAAATTCTTGGTCATTTGATGGATGACGGTTAATTTTTTGAAATGTTGTTTATCAAACGAACTAAACGCACGAGTTTGGCTGTAAATTTTCATGATGACGTGTTTGTAAACAACTGTTAATTCATGACACATTTTATTGATAAATTGCTAACGTTTTATGACACCGGAAGTGTTTCCAAACCGGAGGCCAGTTCTGTCGCCAACCAGTTTTACTTGCGAATAGAAGTTAAAGGACCTCCATAAATGCATTTTTTTTTTTGATACATCAAAAATTTGATTTATAAACAATAGAACTTGACCCTAAATAAGGCAATCGTATAGTTCTTATTTAAGGATATTTGAGACATTTGACGGCTAACATTGGTTTGCTTATTTGGCGGCTGACGGTAAAAATATTGCGTTTTGGAAGGTTGACCGTTAATATTTTTGCCATTTGACGGTTGACGGTTACCCCATTGAGACCCTGGTATAGGTCATATTTACTGCAAGGACGAGTCAAAGCAGCGGTGTTGGCGGGAGAACGGAAAATATCTGGCGCGGTCCGTGGCGGAATGTGGCAAGGTCCGTGCTTCTATTCGTGACCGTAAGCTAAATACCTTCCCGTCCAGCCTGACCAAACATGATTAACAAGCATGTTATCTTGTGACCACCTCGAAAATTTGGTTTCGCCCTAAATAGAAGACGATGCACGAGCACACGCTGAACAATCACGATAAATATCCAACAGGAAAAACTTTTTCCTTTGTTTTTTCATGTCAGAACAAGAAACCCACTGTTCATTAACCCGTCCGACCCTACACACGTCAGCTTTCACTATGGATTTCAATGGGGGTAGGCGCGCGGGGCCGTACGGGTCAAATAATTTTTAGCCATAAACCTGCAATCTAGGTAACGTGTTAAATCAAATCATAGTATCTTGAACAGGAAAAGTGAGAAAAAACAGTGTATACAACTAGCTATTACAAATGCTATATACAAAATATCAAACCTCATGGATAGCGGCTCAATTAAAATGCATTACATAAGGTTTGGCCGAGCTGATATGGGTTTATTGAGGCGTTTTAAAATACTGGTAAAAATTCCAAAAATCGAATGGGTTACCACGCCATTTAAA